GCACCTTAGTCCTCAAACGTACATTATTCCTGCTCAATAATTTGGAGAAGTCTCTAACTGCAGATTTTTCCAAGTGCAATGCGACTCTTTATTTCCTGACTGCTGGTAGTAAGGGTGTTAACTGTAGATCCAAGCAAATGAAATTGTTGACAGTTTCAACCTCTTCTCCATTCATCGTGATATTGCCTATCGACCCAGTGGTAAGAATCTTTATTTCTTGACACAGAAGGGTGCTTTTTACCTATGCTTTTTACTGTCTCTGGAAACCAGCCGAAGGTCAGCTATAAGTCAGTTCCAACTCAACAACAACTACTACTCCTCTCTACCAGGGATCCTTCAATAGGTGATTAATGTGTTTTGGTGTTTTTAAAGAAAAAGTTTTAAATAAAACCAAATTTCAAAAGCCCGAAATCCTGACCTCCAAGGTTAATCTTGCATTGTCTCACTCAAAACACTAGTCCACTGTCTTGTTACAATTTTCTCATTTATTTAACTTACTAGTCTCACATTTTTCAAAACCTGACCCTTTAAACATCATCTTTTCCATGAAACATATAAATTTTTTCTTAGAACTGACTTCCTCCTCTATATTCTTTGAAAATAGATTACTCCACTCCAGGACATCTAGTGTTCTGTTCATATTAACTATTCATGTATCTGTCTCTCTTAGTAAAAAACCTTCTGAAGGTAAGATTTGGGTCCTGACAATGTTCCCTAAAAATATAATCCCAGCTGCTGAATAGCTGTCAAAGGGAAAAGAATCAGCATAAGAAGAAAGGAAAAAAAGGAAAAGGAGGCCATTTTGTTGCCAATATCTACTGTGACACTTAATCTTGGCCATGTCATTTAATCTTTTTAGGTTTCAGTTTCTTTCTTTGTAAGAACTACATAATCCTACTTTTGAGACAAGATTTTAATGGATTAAATGGAAAAATGCAAAAGTATAGAAAGAAAATAACATCTCAAAAGAGCAAAAACCATCTGTTTTTTTTAAAAAAAAACAACACAAACACCAAACACCTTGGCTTCCTACATCCATTCTCCTCTAACACATTATCTGTTAAGGCAAACAGCTAATTACAAAAACTAGAATGCTCACCGCCTGACAGACACAACTCCTTTTTCACCACCAGTCAATTCTCCTCCCATATAACGTATCCCCTCATTCCCTGCCTGCCACAGTGAACGTGCTATCAAAAACTCTTCAAAAAATGTCTTCCCTGAATCCTATGACCCATTCAAGGATCCCGAGCAATCTGTATACTTCAATGTCCAATAGATTTAGATTAGTGTTGAAAACACTTTGAAGATCAAGGTGAAACTGTGACTCAAACTGTAACAACACAAAGTGACAAACCCCTCACTATCTGACAGTGGGTTCAAACAGTTTCGAAGGCTGTAAATTACAAGAAGAAAATGCTCATCTTTCCTCCCTAGCCGCAGAGAATCCCAAACAACCTTGCTACAGATGAGGCCATTTTCAATTACTTCATAGGAATGTGAGAGGTGGACAGTGAATAATGAAAACTGAACAAGAACTGAAGCCTTTGAATTGTGCTGGCAATAATAGTGAATATGCCATGGACTGCCTGGAAAATGTAAAGCCAGTGTCCTTAGATGGTTCAGATTCTGTCTCACATACTTTGCATATATAAGGAGTGCCCAAGGCCTGGAGAAAGACATAATGCTTTGCCTGTATAAAGCAGCAGTCCGTGAAAGAGATGGAGTGACTCAGTGGCTGCAACAACGGGCACAGCTGCGAATGTGAGGATGGCACAGGGCTGGGCAAGGTTTCCTCGACTGACACTTAACAACAAAAGGAGGATAGAGAGATGGGTATGCCATGGCTCAGCACAGTGGTGCTTTCTCCAGATCAGTTCTTAGGAAGCAACTGCATCAGTTCAGAATGGAGCTGTCCCTAAACGTAAGTGTGGTCACTCAACACATTAGGCCCCCAGGCAGGTCTAACTAAGCGATGATTGGGGGCCCTTCCATAACTGGTGACGCTCTCCTGGAATAGGCTCCGATAGCTGGCAGAAGGAAAAGCTCCGGCCAAAGCCTAACAGCTCCCCGGCCTTCTTCCGCGGGCTACAGCAGCTGCCAGCGGGCAGGAAGACGCGGCCGGCCCCGCGGGCACGTGGGGAGGCAAAGCCCGGCGCCGCGTCCCCGCTGCCCCGCACGAGTCCCGCCCCAGACTCGGCCACACTGCTTCCCTTTACCACCACCCCCGCCACTCACCTGGCGTGCGCCCTGGGCGCTGTATTTATTCCTTTTACTCAGTCCCAAGGACTTCTCAAGCAGCGTAAGCTCTGCGGCTGCCGCCATCTTTCGGCGAGAGCTTTTGGCAGGGGCGGGACCATGGCAACATAAGCTTCCGCCATTGGCGGAGAGGGGCGTCTTCGCGGACGTCTCCAGCCATTGGCTGAGTGTAAGGGAGATGAAGGGCACACCTGCGGGGAGGGGCGTGCCAAAGGGAAAGGCTGAAGGTGTATGATTTTCTTAGCTGTTGTTGTTGTCATGTGCCCTCGAGTCGTTTGCGACTCATAGCGACCCTATGTACAACAGCCCTAAACTCCGCTCTATCCTGTGCCAATGGCATTGCATCTGACACACCCATCCCGATTACCCCAGTCACTGAATCAATCCACCTCATAGAGGGTCTTCCCGTCCTGCTCTGTCCCTCTACTCTACCCAGCATGATGTCCCTCTCTAAAGACCTGTTTCTCCTTGCAACATGTCCAAAGTATGTCAGAAGAAAAACCTATATTTTCTTAGCTAGGATAGTTAAAGAACTTGCTGGTCTGTCTAATACTTCTCTTAATCTGAACATTCACATTGAGACAGACTAGGAAGAAGGATTGGCC